TGATATTATCGGCAAAATAATTGTGTTGTGTAAAATGCCGAATCAAAGGAGTCGTGCAAGATTTAAAAGGAAATATATCACAGATTGATAATTCGGTGACATTTAGTTTCTAAAAAACGGATTGTCTCAGCATGCCTAACTGAAGAATTAAGTGCTCGATGATATTAACGTAACGAGATTTAAACAAATTATTGACGAAGATAAAAAAGATAATGAGGTGCCGTATAGTCTGAAGATTTATGTTGTCCGAATTAAATGTTGAAAACATGGTGTTGTTGATTTTTTCGGATAATTATTTAAGGGATAATGCAGCGTTAAGAGCATCCACTCTAAAAAGATTAATAACAAATTTAATAAACATAAATACAATCAAGATTACTCAAAAATCTTACAAACAACGTTGACAATAAGCATAACTTTTTGCACCACATGAATAATTTTATAAAGTTTCAAAAGCATCATGATTGAAAGGACATGCATTTAGTTGTCGTTGAAGCATGTGATAAATTTAACATGATAATAGACGACATCGATGATTTGATTTTTAAGGACGGGCAAGAGATCATTTGACAGGAAGGATTTGAGGTGCTATGCCTCGATCTATTCACTAAGACCACGTATCTGCTAGATGGAAAAAATATGAAGGCGTAATCTTTGTTGTTGCAGTGACAAGAATCGAACAAGCATAATAATGACGGCTAAGTCTAAAATCTATCCAGAACATGTATTATGTTGTATGATCTCGCATAAAATAAACGGCCTTGTTTCTTTTATGGCCAGCCTGAGTCATTGTGCCTTTGCTTCCTTTGACCCATTTGTTTTAGCTTATCTTCTGGTCATTGTCACTCCTGGACATTCAGATGGACTAATGATCCCATTTATTATATATATATATATAAATTGCCACCATCGCATCTTCCAAAAATTGTTATCACGTCTCCAGCACCAAGCAAAAAGAAACAAAGATTCTCAATCTTCCAGTCTTCAAACTGTACTAGGAACGAACAAGATGCAAGATATGCTCGAAGATTGTGGTCATCCACCAGAAATAACACACTATTAATGTATCTTCTCCTTCCATGCTACAAAACACATTTTTCTATTCGATGATACGACTCCCGACAAACAGGAACATTCTTGCATCTTATCCACTAAAGATGGACTGTGTATCATTGATGAGAACGTCCAGACAAGTCAAAAGCGCATGGTTGTGGAAATATCGTGTGTTAAGAGATGAATCGTAAGTATGTAGATGACACACGGAGATATTTCTCGGGCTTTGCTTGATGGAGCCATAGTTCTCTGCTGAGAATCATGCAGGAAATAGAATCCATCCGGTAGAACTTTAAGACATCAATGATATTTGAGTTGAGAAACCAAAGGAACGACAACTAAATCAACAAGAGGAACTACAAAAACTCAGCCTATCGTTATTCCTAAAGCATCACAATTCTGAAAAGCACTATAATCATCATATATGTCATGTCATCGTTCAATCATCTTTCCCACAGTCTTCTACGCCACAATCAACTAATCTATCGAAATATACGATGTTTGTGGTTGATAGAAATAAATCATCAAGTGATCCTTCTGTGTCATCTAAAACCTATAAAACTACCACACTTGAGATTTATTCTCATGGTGAGTTAGATGATAATTTAAAAGAATATTTCTTCACAAATAATCCTCGCCAATACAATAAACAGAACCACTAAACAAACACTACTTATCAACCAGTTTCTTTCATATGGATAACAACGAAAAGGGAATGCAAAAAGGTAAGGAAGTTTCACCTGAAATGATTCCATTACCTGAGACTCCTCTTCCAATTAGAACACCTGTAAAAACAAAATTTACACCTGAACAAAAAGAAGCACCGCTTTTTGAAGTTGAAGAACAGTCAAATATTGAACCAGACATTCAATCAAAAAGTGAAGAGCAGCAACAACAACAACAACAACAAAATAATAAACCACCGTTAATTCCTTCGATAGAAGTGGGTGCAACCGCAGATATACCCATAAGTACTAACATTTCTAAACCACCAGGTAATTCTGAAGAGGGGACTTTTAACTCTGAAAAAGGAGAACATGAAGAAGGATCTGAAAAAGAAAGATCGATTATTCCTCCGATCACCAAACAACTTCCAAAGATCGAAGTATCATCGATAAAAAACATCTGGTCCAACAACCTGTTCCTTCGTATCCTAGTTTACATTATAGCCGCATTCTCCTCAATACCTGTACTTACGCTTCTTGGATGGACAGTTGTCACGGCCACAATTATTATTGGAATCGCCGGGATTGGAATCGCCATCGCTGAGTCATGTGCTTTGGGATGCGGTAGTTGCGTCTGTTTTCCAGTGTTTGGTGTGTTGATATTTGTCGCTTTTCTTAGCGCGTTGCTGGGTGGATTAGGTTACTGTAGTTACTCTCTTCTTTTAAGTCTGTTAGCTTTCACAGGGTTTAGCCTAGGAAAAAATGCACGTGAGCGAAGCGAGTTTCTATCTCAATTATCTTATGAGAACAAATTTAGCAGTGGTTAAACGAAAAAAATAATCATGCTAAATAGTATTATTGTTGCCATTGTTTGAACCCTACAAACTTCCTTTATAATTATCTATGTAATAATAACAATAAAAAATACTTGATTCAATATATGACCCCATATTAGTACATATGATATGCGACGCTCAGGAAAGATAATTATTTGTAACAAATCAGAAAGGTTAAAGTTCGACTTTTATTGTTTAAGTGAATCTCCTCATGTGAAAATCTTAAGGTTGGACATCTTGGTGTTTCTTTACAGTTCTGGTGGTTTAGGAACTGATTCATGGATTTCTTGATCGTTTACCATGTACGATAATGAAGATGATGGTTGTTCCTCAACCGATGATGCTTCTTTTAAAGCATTTTCCAACTCGTGAACATATCTTCGTAGTCGAAATCCTGCGAGATAATGTCGGCTGAGGGTTTGTTCAAGGAACCATAATTTCTGATTGATTCTCGCGTCGACTCTTCTTATAAACATTTGTTCATCTGTATAAATTGGTGCTGTTGGTGTTGAAGATGTGGCATCAATTTTTGGTTGAGTGGAAAATGAATTTGGTAACGGATTGTCGAAATAAAATGTCGATTCTTTTCCGATTTGACCTTGATCGTTATTGCTGCTGGTGGTGTTGTTGTTACAAGATAAAGTAATAGGTGAGGCGATATTATTTGCTGGCTTTTTGAATACGTCTTTGGCAGATATCAGAGGTATTTTTTCGGCATTAGGAGAATTCCGAAGTAGGTATCGTTGAATAATTCCCCATGATTTATATTTCCCGCGACCAAACAGAAATGTCCATGCTGTAAATGCATAAGTCAATAGACCACCGACTGCACCAATCAGATCGAAATACGAATATGGTGGTTTCTCAATATATTTAGGTATCTGCGTAAAAAAACACAAGTTTTGAATTAAACGATTCTTTTATCGTTATATAATATCGATGGGATGGAATCAATTACCATATATGTATCTGGTGAATAAAATAATTTGAACGTCATATCTGAAGTCTCAAAGCTTTTAATTCGAACAGTATTTTGCTTTACAATGGTGAAAGATTCGCATACTCCACCCGATAAATCAACTGTTTGAAGCGTATCAAAGGTGAGTATGTTCATGGTTTTTGTAGCTGCTACCATTGGTTTGATATTTTCAATTGGCTTTGCATGATTATATAATCCATATAAGATCC